AGAGAGAGTAAGAGAGAGAAGAGAGAGACGAGAGAGAGAGATGAGAGAGAGAGAAGAGAGAGGAGAGGAGAGAGGACAGGAGAGAGAGATGAGAGAGGAGAGAGAGAGAGAGAGAGGGAGAGTCAAGACGAGAGAGAGGGGAGAGAGAGGAGAGAGAGGAGAGAGAGAGAGAGGAGAGAGAGAGAGAGAGAGGAGAGAGAGAGAGAGAGAGAGAGAGAGGGAGAGAGAGGGAGAGCGAGAGAGAGAGAAGAGAAGAGAAGAGAGGGAGGGGAGAGAGAGAGAGAGGAGACAGAGAGAGAAAGAGAGAGAGTAAAGAGAGACATACAGAAAAAGAAAAGAAATACAAGCAAAATAACAAACAGACTACAAATAAATAAACAGATAAACCAACAGCCATCCCCCCTTCCCCATCCCCCCTACCCCCCTCCCCTCAAATAAAAAAAAAATATCTACCATATCCTCCATTTAAACACCACCACCCCACCCCCCCCAACCCACCCCAACCTACAACTCCCCCCTCAATATAAAATTACGGCAACCACGTGTAATAGCCATCTCTCTGGGATCTTGAAGGTTGCGTTGCGGGGAGGAGAGGCGAGGAAGGGAGCACCGCCGGCAGGGAGGCTTGAAGCGCTGATATGCTCCGACACATCTGGCCGTGGGTCCCTTCTGGCCCGTGGCGCCGCAGGTCGTCACCACCCACACTTCTGCGGGAGGGAGAGGTGGTGCGGTTAGAAAGGATTGGTGCTGTTGGATTTTGGTTATATTTATTAATTTTTATTAATTATTTTATTGTTATTATTATATTTCTTATTATTATTATTATTATTTATTATTATTATTATTATTATTATTATTATTATTATTATTATTATTATTATTATTATTATTATTATTATTATGTATTTATTTATTATTATTATTATTAATTATTATTATTATCTTATATTATTATATTATTATTATTATTATTATTATTATTATTTATTATATTATTTATTATATTATTATTATTATTTATTATTATTCATTATTATTATTATTTTATTATTATTATTATTATTATTATTATTATTATTATTATTATTATTATTATTATTATTATTATTATTTATTATTATATTATTATTCATTATTATTATATTATATATTATTATTATTATTATTATTATTATTATTATTATTTTATTATTATCGATATATTATATTATTATTATATTATTATTATTGCAAATTATTATTATTATTATTGTTTATTAATCATTATTATATTATTATTTCATTATTATTATCTATCATTATTATTATTATCATTATTAGTATTATTATCATTACAATTGTCATCCTTATTTTTGTTATTATCGTTATTGTTATTATTATTCTAGTTTTTTATTGTCAACCACCCATACTTCTACAGGAGGAATATATGTGTATTGTTAGAAATGAATGTTGCTGTTGAATTTTGTTATCATTATTATTATCATTATCTTTATTATTATTATTATTATTTATTATTATTATTATTATTAATATTTATTATTATTATCATCATTATATTACATTATTATCATTATTATCATTATTATTTTGTTATTATCTTATTGTTATCATTATTTTTGTTATTATCCTTATTGTTATCATTATTTTAGGATTTTATTGTATTGCTGTTGCTGTATTGTGGTCGTTAGATTTGTTTTGTCTGTAGAGATGATGATGTTGGTGAGTATACAGTCAAATGCAGACGAACACGATATATTCTTTTGCAGCTCTCTCTCTCTCTCTCTCTCTCTCTCTCTCTCTCTCTCTCTCTCTCTCTCTCTCTCTCTCTCTCTCTCTCTCTCTCTCTCTCTCTCTCTCTCTCTCTCTCTCTCTCTCTCTCTCTCTCTCTCTCTCTCTCTCTCTCTCATACACACACACATACAGCCCTCCCAGACCTACCATAACCCCCCCCCCACTCACGAACAAAGCCAGACACAAGCGTATAACAAAGAACAGTCAAATGCATTTCACAAAACAACAAAGAATAAAAAAATCCTTAGTTCTTATTTTGCTGGCCCTGGCACTGATTAATTAAGCGAGTCATTACATATAATTATGCAAATTAAGTCTATTTTGTGCATATTCTCTTCTAAGTAATGGCTTATTTTAGGGAAAATGATGTTGGTGATGATGATGATGATGATGATGATGATGACGCTTTTGCTGTTTAGTGATGATGATGTTTTGATGATAGTGATAATGATGATTTGGTATGATGGTGGTGATGGTGAAAATGATAATGACGATGATGATGGTGATAATGATGATTTGGTATGACGTTGATGATGAAAAGGATGATGGAAATGATGGTGATGATGATGAAAATGATGAAGAGGAGGATGGTGGTGATGAAAATGATGATGAAGATGATTATGGTGATGATGATGATGGTGATGTTGAGAGGGATCATATAATGATGTTGATGATGATCCTCATCCACAAGAATAAGTGAAATACAATGTGCAAGTTCCGTAGATTTTCACCACTGTAACTGTAAACTGCTCACATGTAATGTTTACATGTAGAGATAATATTACTTCAATCATCTTCTAGAGCTTCTCTCTCTCTCTCTCCCCGCCCCCCCCCCCCCCCCGTCTCTCTCTCTCTCTCTCTCTCTCTCTCTCTCTCTCTCTCTCTCTCTCTCTCTCTCTCTCTCTCTCTCTCTCTCTCTCTCTCTCTCTCTCTCTCTCTCTCTCTCTTTTTCCCTCTATCTCTCTCCTCTCAGTCTTCCACTTTTTTCTTCCCCTTCTTCTTCTCTTACCCTCCCACCCTCTTTTCGCATCTTACGACACTAATCAGAGAAAATAGATATTCCATTTCCCTTTGAATTACCATTTATGCGATATACTTTAAAATTTGACAATAATTATATTCTTTAATGAGGAAACATAAATGAGTAACAAATGTTTTGCGAAAGATAAGCACTATCTCATACACTCTATTATGAGGCTTAGTCAAACGCTACATTATGATGATAAAGATAATGAAAATAACTATGATAGCGGGTTTGATACTGACGATAAGGATGATGATGGTGATAATGATATTAGATACTGATAGATCTTAATTAGACTAATATAGTAATATGAGATTGCATGAAAAAATATATAAGGTTTATAAAGCCATATGTACAAATATATACAAAATACATATAACGATACCTTGGATAAATACCATATCCCTTCCTCTGCTTATGAGGAAATGAAAATATTGAACTGAAAAATAGAGTTCACTAAAGGGGTCTGACAAGATATGTTTTCTTCCTTTGCTGCAGCTCCTCCTTCTCTTCCTCCTCCTCCACGCACTCCACCTTTTCTCCTTTTCCTTCTCCTCCTCTTCCTCTTCCCCCCCCCCCCCTCTACCTCCTCATCCTTCACCTACTTCTTTCTCCTTCTCCTCCTCTTCCACCTGTTCCACCTCCTCCACCCTACCACCTCCTCTTCTCCGTCCCTCCATTCCTCCTCCTCCTCCTTCTCCCCGTCCCTCCATTCCTCCTCCTTCTCCCCGTCCATTCCTCCTCCTTCTCCCGTCCCTCCATTCCTCCTCCTTCTCCCCCCTCCATTCCTCCTCCTCTCCCGTCCCTCCTCCTCCTCCCCCAACCCCACCACCGCCTCCTCCTCTTCCTCAAGACTGCGAAATGTGATATTCCCTCCAAAAGACCAAAGCAAAGCAGGGAAATAAGTCGCTGAGATGGCGAGAGACAGGGAAGGAAGGTTCTTTGATCTG